GAAGTGCTCGTCCGACAGGAGTTGGGCTCTCCTTGCCAGGAGAGCAGCACTGCCCTCTCCTTGCCCTCCTGCTCCACCACAGGGATTTTGCAAGGAGCTTCCAGCTGCTGCTGCAGCATCGCACGGGGCTTTCCCGAGCTTGTGGCCTGTCACTTCAGTCCACAGACACAGCAGGGGCAAGGAGAACACGCGTGAAGCGCAGGGCACCTCCTGCCTCCATCGCAGCACAGGCATGAAGGGGCCTGGGCTTCTGGTTTTCACTTCCTGAACCCCTCTGGCTTTTCTGAAGATCTGTGGTTTTGCCCTTGTGGCAATTAGAAAAAGTAGTTTCTCTGCTTTGCTCCCCTACCTTTTCACTCCTATCAAACAAAACAAGGCCATAAACCCTTCATTCACACTGTGAGGGTGCCTGCACTTTGCAGTCAATTAGAAAAGGGGCAGCTCATGAAGCCAAAGTGAAGCCTGGGCATTTTGCAGCAGTGGTAGCTGTGGGTTAGAGTGAGGAGCAGCCCCATCCGGGAGCCATCCCTGCCCATACGGGCACTACTGGTGGGAAGAGCAGGACTGGCAGCAGCAAGAAGGGAGACCCAGGGGAGGCTGCAGGCAGCGTAGCACTGCAAGCAACACAGTGCTCTCCTGCAAGTACAGAACTGGCACGTTACAGAGGGAAACAGCCTTCTGCTGTTCCACGATTTCTGAAAAAAAAAATCAGTGTCTTGGCAACGCTTCCTCACTTGTAAGTGGCACCTAATGGCCTGAAACTGAAATTTGTCATCACACAGTGTCACGCTTCAAATCTCTGCCATGAGCTCATTTCATTCTCACTCGGCACTACCAGAAAAGCCTTCTTATATCACAGATTAACGTGATATAAACGCAGCCTCCAGAGCCACAGCTCACTGCAGCATCCACAGGGAAGGCAGACGGAGAGGAGGCTCCTCACTAACACAAATCCGCTGGCCTCGAGGCAATACGCAGGGCTGAGTGGTGGAGCCGGGCGGGCAGCCCGTACCTGAGCATGCGGTGCAGCTTGTGAGGGGTCATTCCCACCCCGTTATCCGTAAAGGTCAGGCAGAGGTGGCCCTTGAGCTGCAGCAGGTCAATGCTCAGGCGCTTGGCCGTGACACTGGCGTCCGAAGCGTTGTCTGTGGGGGGACAAAACGGGGCAGTCACGGACACGCTGCCACTCGGACCTTCCCCCCCCGCGGCCCGGGGGTGCCGCGGG